AGTGGGATAGGTGTGTGATACCTATTAGCCACCGAACCACCAAGTGTTGGTTGACACAACGGGGACTAGCGTGTCGGCAAGCACGTGAACCTCGGGAGAAAAATTTATTGTCTCTTGCCCCTTGGTATTCTCTCGGTGATTGAATTGGTATTCATCTTGTGATTGGTTCACTCCTCTATGCGGTAGTATAACCACCCTACTCACTCATTTACACTCCCGCAAACTAGTTGTAGCAAGCTTTTTAGTGTAGCTAGAATTGAGAGCTTGCTTTCTAGCTTAAGTTCATCTAGTGGAGCTCTTTAGTGTAGCAAGTTTGAGAGCTCTTAGTGAGTAGCAACATAGCCTCTTGTGTGCCTAGTAATTATAGCAACTAAAATTGTTGGATAGGTAGCTTGCAACCCTTGTAGAGCTAGAGCAAGTTTGTATTTCGCTATTTGTCATACTAATCAAATTGCTCTAGTGATCCTGTAGATTTTTAAATAGGCTATTCACTCCCCCTCTAGCCATATTAGGACCTTTCAACCATATGCCAGTTGCAACCATGAAGTTGGTGAGGAGGTCAGCGTGGGAGGCGCTCACGGAGTTGGCAAGGAGGCCAACGTGAGAGGTGGAGGTTGTTGACGGTCACTAACACCAATTATAAACCATCAACATAACCTGTATTTATACTTAATTCTATCACCAAACATAGGTATAGGGGTTTAAACTAATAAATTTCACGAGTTTTGGTGAATCTGTGTTTTCAGCAGGGTTTATCTAGAAAACCGTCAAGGGGACCTATTCGTCAAAGGAAATTATGAATTTTTGCCGCGTAAACAGCGGGGAAAAGATTCTAGAAGACTCTAGGAGACTCTCCACCGAAGCAGACCCTGAGGGGCTGCCATGTGGGGTTGGCCGGCCCCACCTGCAGGCCGGCTGGCCTGTGGGTCCCACTAGTCAACCTTTGCTTCGAAAGTCAGTTTCCCACCGCCATTGAGATCTAATCTTCACCGTTTATTCAAGTCGGTTTGATCCAAGGGCTCAGGATTGATGCTCTGACCTATATATATCAGTCTCTACCTCCCTCCCTCAGCAGATCTTTGAAACCCTAATTCATATCTTTAGGATCGAGTCAGCTATCAAGAGAAGATTAGTCCTCCATAGTATCTAGTCTTATGAATAGAAATAGTGAGATAGAGAGTGAGGGAAGAGTTTGGAGGAGGTGTCGGCCTGTTGGTGCTCTCTCTACGGCTTGTACCTTGGCGGATCCAAGTTCTATCTAAGCTTGCCTCTGAGATATCTCTGGTAATCAACTTCTGATTCAAGTAAGCATCTTGTTTATATTATTCATCAGGATAACGACTCTTTGAGTGCTTTATTCCTATTCTAGAGGGGGTAAAGTATTAATCATAAGTGTAAGCGTGGTGCTTAGACTTAGATTAATTATGGATGTACCCTGCATTTCGGATCGGTGGTAGATCGCGTGTGTGACATCAGTACTATATAGCCTCATTGAGTACTATATAGCATTGTTGATCCTTTGTAGTCCACCTCTCGTTTGTAGGCCAAGTAAGACCCGGTTACGAAGGAAATCATCCTCTGCTGGTGTCTTTCCCTAGTAATATCCCAAGTTGAACAATAGAAGACATAGCTTACCCAAGTTAGAATTAGAGAACCTCAGTTATCCCCTCTACGCTCCTATTTATCCTAACCTTGTTGTTACCCTTAGTTAAGTTAGATCATAGTTAGTCTCACACGTTTTCCTGTGGATACGATACTTGGAATACTTCCGGGTGAAAGCTACAGCGGTATCCGTGCGCTTGCGGATTTATCTGTGTGTGTTAATAAATACCAACAGTGGCCAAGTAGACTTGCGTTGCCGTGGTTACCTGCATGTCGTGGCGGCGGGCGGTCCCGCTTAGCGGTGGCTGTTTCAGCGCAAGTAGTCTTCTAACCGACAGCCGAAGGACGTGTGTGGCACTTCTACATTCGATGAGAAAACTAGGCTACTGGAAGCTGTGCTGTGCGTGTGTGGATCTCGGTGGGCGGGGTCGGCTTGGTGTGCGCCTAAGGCAGCTCCTCTCATGTCGGTTTGGCAGCTTGCAGTGGCTTGCGACGGGTAGCCCTACTTTGTAGTGGTTACTCCGGTGTGGGACAACATCTTCAGTGACGGCGCAAGAGAATCTGATTGCAGAAGGGCTACACGGCTTGCAGCGGATTGCAACAGGTAGCCCTGCTTTAGCAGCGGGCTACTCGGTGCGGGACATCATCGACAACAACGGCACAAGCGGTGACAAGGGTGTTTACGTCTTGATGGCTTTGTCTTTCGGGGGGTGGTGGCGTAGTGTAGTGACCAGTTCGTGGTGGTTTGGTGGTGGTGAAGCATGTGTTTTATGTTGAGTCACAGCTCGTGTCGATGTCCCCCCATTCCGATAGGTCAAAGTTGTTTTTTCTTCTTCTTTGAGTTTGGGGGGTTCGGTGTGTGTTGATATCCCAATCTAATCGACCGGAGTTGTATCTGTTTATTTTTGCCTAGTCAAGGCTTTATTTGCTTTTTAATATAATCGGCAGCACTCCTGCCTAATTCGTTTCAAAAAAAAGTTGTACATAAATGTTAGTTGTATTTTTTCTACAATGTAACAAACGTATAGGTGCATTTTAGTTATTTATTTAAATTAATCTATTTTGGTATTTAAATTTCAACATTAGTATGCAGTAATAAAAAATGCAGATTTTGACGTTGATTAGGCTCAAACCATATATTCACGTGACATGTTCACATATACGATGTACTTCATCTGTTTCAAATTATAAGTCGGTTTGATTTTCTTGGTACATTCATTTTATTATGCATCTAGATATAATAATACGTCTAGATACATAGCAAAATGAATGAATAAAAAAAATCAAAGCAATTTATAATTTTGAGCGGAGGGAGTACATCTACTGCTCTACACAGCTCTTCTTTGTCAGTCCGGCATGGTGCTAGGCACCCTTTGCCTTGCCCGCTCCACCTGCATGTCGCTCGATCGGTTTCTATGACAACGTACAACTATTCTTGGAGAGTATATATCTTATATACATTTGTTTAGTTTGTTGCCTTTTTTTTCTTTTTTCTAAACATTTTAATTAATTTATAATATTTAATTGTTGTATGCCACTCAAAAATAAAGAGCTAAGATTTGTTTGAGATCTTACCTCCTATGATTTTAAATCTCAGCTCCACATACACTATAAAACTTTGTCTAAAAATTTATGAGAGCTCTAGAGGGGTTCCACTGCTCCGGTATGGGTAGGGGGGCTCGAGCGCCCCCCCCCCGCGCGCGCGCTAGATCCGCCCCTGTCTACAGCCACTGCATCTGCAAATGCTCTACTTATTGAAGATGAAGGAGCAGTTGTAGCATAGAACCGATACATCTTCTTAATCACAATATGGAATTTGTCAACTTCAACTTGATAAGAATTTCTATATAGCTTTTTCAAGTAAAACTCAACAATTTTTGTCTTGAACCTAGGATCAAGAACATTTGCAACAGCAAGTGCCACACATTAGACTTCTTCCAATATTGTCAAACTTGACAATCATAGCATTGGCCATTTGACTAATAGTGGGATCAATATTACTGCACCATTCATTGAGCATAAGTTTAATCTCACAAAAACCTCTAAAAACAGATTTGCTGTTGTATAGGAAGTACTATCTTTGTCTCCCAAAAGAATGCAATTCTAGCACAGTGTCATGTTTTAATACCTTAAGTTTGGCTAATTATAGATAAAAAAGTATCCATGTTTATGATACCAAATAAATATCATTAGATTAATTACGAAATGTATTTTTATAATAAATTAATTCAAAATCATAAATATGCAGCCTGTTCGTTTCGGCTGAATTGGCTTATAAGCTATGACTGAAAATACTGCTGGCTGGTTTGGTGTGAGAGAAAAACACTGTTCAAGCCATGGATTATAAGCCAGATACGAGCGAATAAGCCGAAATGAACAGGCTGATGAATATTATTCACTAAAAACTTGGTAAAATATAAACCACTTTTCGTGACACGCAACTCATAGTTGCATTCTTTTCAGGATGGATGTACTACCAGATAATAACCCAGTTAGCTCAAAGAACTTTCTCAAGAATGGGAGTAAAGTTCATGCTTTGTCCCACTCCTCAGGCGAAGGACAAATATGCTCATACCCGTGGCGTTCATATGACTTGAACCTCTCAAAAGTCAGCTTATAATACACAACATCCCTTAGCATCAAATATGTCGAATTCCATATAGTGGAAACATCAAGTGAGAGTTTAGATTTAGTGTCCAATCCACACTCAATAGCACACTTCATGAACTCTGCCCACCGTACCGTAGAGCCCTTCACAGCTACTACAAAAGCTCTAATATTTTAGCTACAGATCCGATCACACGCATACCATCTCTACCAACAAGTTTAAGAATGTGATTAGCACATCTCACATGAAAAAAACTTCCCATTACAAACTAAACGACTATGCTTCTTCAGTTCTACAATTACATCCTTAACATCGACCTCATTTGCAGCTGCATTGTCCAAAGTAAGAGAAAACATTTTCCTCTCAACAATCAGCCTGTTCGCTTATGCTGAAATTTGACTTATACTGATGTTTATGCTAAAATGTTGTGAGAGAAAAATACTATTCCATAATTGAAAAGTAGTTCTGAATAAGTTCAAACGAACAAGACGAATACCATTTCTAAGAGACATGCAGTGAAAGTAAGAGAAAACAGGTTATTTCTCATTTTCATCGACCGCAAAGGAGTCAGTCACTGAATTCTAGTCACCCAAAATTCATACTTTCTTGAGAAAACCCGGAATTCAGGAACTGGTCCATGGACACGGAAAATTCAACATTGGGCCCAAAAGTCCAGCCCGTTAAAATTGAAAGCCCACTAGTCACCTCCACGACCCCAAGGCGACCCAGGAAGAGTCCAATCAGGCTCCTAACCCTTCTCCACTCCGACGGCCTAAACCCCGCCGCCGAAATGCTCCTCCGCCCTCTCCTCCGTCGCGGCGCCGCCGCCGCCGCAGCAGCCGCGGTATCCTCCGGCGGGGCTCGCGCCACCGCACTCCCCGACCCGCCCGCCGCGCTCGCCTCCCTTCTCCTCGCCTCCCGATCCTACGCGAAGGCCAAGGGCGGGGGCAAGCCGGCGTCGTCCACGTCAAACCGCGGCAAGGTCCGCGCCAAGGACCCGCGCGGGGTGGCGTCGGCCGGTGATGCCGCCGGGGCCGATTTCTCTGCCGGAGGCGGGGGCGACGACATTGACACCGAGTTCGAGCTGCCCACCGACCCGCTGCCCCCTACATACGACCCAGCTCTCGACGTCGGCCCCGGCGGCCGCCCGCTCTTCGCCTTCACTGACACGTTCGGGTCCTTCGCCCACCGTGACGCGAACGTCTACGTCGACTTCACGTAGGCACCCTCCCCCTCTCAATTATATCGCCAATGTGCGTGGTATTTTGAAGGTTTGGATCTTGCGGTTGCATTTGCGGCGGTCTGTCTGGCCACATTAGCGATTAGGTAGCAATCATTGTGGTATTTGAACTTTATTTGGTAGATTGTATGGGTTTTGGTCATAGTACCATTTTAAGTAGGGTTGATCCTTTGTAGATTTTTGTGCATAATTAATCATTCTGTTGCTTCATCTGCAATCCCACGATGGAGTCTGCGGTTGATGTTATCTAAATGCTCCATTGATTTGTTCAAGTTTTGTAATTTGTATGTTTTTGCTAACTTCAAGGCCATTTGATGCTTTGACTAAATTGTGTTCATTTTCTTAATGCATATGTCTAATTGTTGAAATATTACCCTTTTCCAAGTTAGGTAGACGCAAAATACTGTATTATATGGTATTTTGTAGTATCTTGTCCCATTAGATGTAAAAGATAATTCATTTCGTACATTAATCTGCAACCAGGAGACTGAATATTGCTCAGATTGAATTTCTTGGATGCTATTGGCAGATTCTTTTGGAATGTTGAATTTTCTTTTCTTCCTCTGTCATGTGGCATATTTTTCAGTTTGGATGAATGGAATGCTGTTTTACCAGAAGGGTTGCCAGCGGGCATGATGAAAGAGTTTCAGGAGACAAGACGGTGTGCTGTGATGTTGAGGAAGGGGTTCCTAGACCTCCGGGATAACTTCCGTAGGATTGTTGATCCTGCTGTTACAACAAAGCTCAAAGGTGTGTAATGTGTTGGTACTTGTGCATATTGGATTCTTGGATGCTGCTCCATGTTATTAAGACTATGAGATGTGTTAGCCTCAGATGATTCATGCTGTGCTGTCAATTGATGCTGTGTGTACAGTGCTTGTGTTTGTGCTGCTTAAGTCTTATGTTAGCATGGATGATTTGAGTTCCTTCAGATTATAGTGAACACATTTGCTGTTGATTGCATCATCATCATCGTGCTAGTCTTTTATGGTGTCAAGCAAACGCTGCTCCTGTTAACATGCATCGTATTTGTAGTTTGATTGAACTGATGTACTGATATGTCAACTTTCTCAAAATCGACATTGGAAATTAAGATAATATGCCCATGATTTAGCATTAGTTCATTTTTGAGTCTTTAATATTAAGGCATACTATCAGAACAAAAGAAAAGAAAGGTTGACTGAGGAAGTAGGTTTCTTAATTCTAAAAGTGGTGGTACCCACTCCATCCAAAAATATAAAGACGGTTTGATTTGGTGGGGTCTTCAATATCACACTTTGACTGCTAATTTCTCTTATAATATATCATTCATGGCAACAAAAGTTTGATTATTAGAAAGTATTTGTAAGTACAAATCCAAAGTTTCATATTGTTAGACTAATTGTTGCTTGTTGGTGAAAGATTATGGAGTTTGAATTTTCAAATGTGTGCCCACCTTATATTATGGGACAGAAGGAGCATGATTTTTCACCTAGCAAGATTAATAGTGACAAAAGTCCATTCTCCTTACTTTTCCTTGTCTTAACTTTCTGAAACAACTTCTGAATTGATACTGGTGTTGCAAAAGCAATTGCAGTACCATCAATCTATAACCATGCAAATAATGGCACATTTGAAAATGTATAATATATTAATATGCCATATATTGCTAGAGTAAAGCTGTTTAGTTTGCACTACAATTTTTACTTTGTTTTCCTCTAAATACATTGCCATTGCAAAACATATTCAGTACAATGTGATTGCATATGTACACATATATTTGCCGGCTTGCCGCAACACTGTATCTCAAGATCTCAATCATTTTTCCTGCTTGCCTGTATCCAGATACCAAAAAACAAATTGTCTTGGATGGCCCACGGAGTTGTGGTAAAAGCATTGCACTTGCGATGCTTGTCCATTGGGCACGTACTGAAGGATGGCTGGTATTTTATGTTCCACAAGGGAAGGATTGGACTCATGGAGGATTCTTCTATAGAAACACATATAGTGATTTTTTCGATACACCAATACAGGCTGCGAAGATCTTGCAGGTGCTAAGCTCTGTGATTTTGTATGTTCCAGTTGCTTCAAATAGACTATCTTTCATATTCCTCTTTTCTATATATGGATGCAGATAGAATGCATTATCATCTGTTTTCCTTGTTTTATTTGTTTGTAATCTGCCTACACGCTCCAAATAATGCTAGTTTGATGTATGTGATGATATAGTAACCATCAAATGGGCAAGTGGCAACGATTGTAAGAATACGATGTCTTGATAGGTGGACGATGGTCATGCATATATTGATTAACATTCAATCTTATTTGGTACTGGTGGAGCCTCTTCTGTTTTCAAGTTGTCACTGTGAAATCTAAGTATCTGATATGGTTACATATTTGCCTAAAGATTGATTTAAACACATCTCACTTGTGCTATTTTATATTATCAGTTCATACTCCATACTGTATGCAAACTGGGTTTCTCTAATCTCAGTTGGATATTGATAATATAGTAGGAATGTAAACTTATGCAGTCATGCTTGTTTATTTGTATATATTTCCTTTATTACACTTGGGTCCATGGATACTTTATTAAGCATAGTAGCATACGCATCCATTGCTAGAAAGCAGATAATCTGTAACATTTTGCAAAATACAAATCTCGCCACTAATTTGTACTATAACATATCTACAGAACCTATTAAAAGTCATGAAAGTAATTTTAGGGCAATTATGCACTTATCTAAATATTCTAAAAGATATTGTGCCAAAATGTAAAATGCTGCATGCTCTCCACTTGCACTACATCACTTTTAGTTGGAGGTAGTACATCTTAAACCCATAATTTATGGCAATATATATATATATTTTGTTTGATACTACATTGTGCTGGATGGAACATCATTTCCTCTAAATCTGTTTCTATTGCTGCTTCAGGATTTTTTGAAGTACAACGAAACACGCTTACAAAAATTACCATGTCAATTTTTTGAGCCTATTCCCCTGGGAGAAGGTGCCGGTGTTGGAATGATGAAAGGGGCTGACACAATGGAAATGCCTGAAGGGTCCACATTATATGATCTCATTCAAACTGGGATAACTCACATGCATGCTTCAGTTGGTGTTGTAGTTCGCTTAAGGAAGGAGCTGTCCCTTGTTAAAGACGTGCCTGTACTGTTTGCCATTGATCAGGTATGTCAGAGCATTGACACCATAGCTGAATTGGCTGCTGCCACTTCAATGTTTGATATGTTATATGTGTAAAAATTCCCATTAATGTGAAACACATTAAAATATTCTTTTTTTCTTTTGCAGTACAATAGTTGGTTTACATTCAGTGACTTCCAGGAACCTGTAACTGTCCGATCCTGTCGATCGATCCATGCAAAAGAGCTTACAATGGTTCGTTGCACTGAGATACCTCACCATGTTCAATCATCACATTCTTTTATGTCCTTCAGTTTCCTCCTTTGAAAGTAGCAAATATTTGCATATCCTTTCTGCTTATTTGCATGTATTTTTTGGTTGTGGTGTAGTAAAAATTGTTAAGTTCCTTACACTTTTCTATGTGTTCATTCTCTTTTCTTTTGTAATCTTTCATGTACTCTGTTCTGTTGCCTAATAATAAGTAAATATACAGTTTCTGAGTGACTTATTTTTGTAAAGATAAACATATGAGTCTGTATTAGCTTTTTTTACTTCTCAGTGGAGATCTGGAATACATATGGCAAGTGTACAATGCGTAGCATCATAGCACTTTTTTTTAACACTAGTAATCAGTTCCCTGGACATACACACTTAATGTTTCACTTGTACTATAAACAGGTCAATGCTTATAGATCAATGTTGCACAATGATATGATGGTGGGGGCCTTTTCACACTCAACAGCAGTTGGCAAACTACGGCAGGAGCTGCCAGATGTTCCTTCTGATGCTCGTTTGATCTTTCCACGTTACACCTTAGATGAAGCTGAGACTGTGTGTCACTATTACATGAGGTATTTTTTTTTTAGAAATTTGGCATATTTCTATCTGTTTATAGTGTTTGATAATCTGTGATGGCTGACTCTGGCATATTACTTGTTAACTCAATAACTGAAAATTGGCAATACACTTGACCAGGCAAAAGATCATTCGGCGCGAGAATTTTTCAGAAGAGAAATGGAAAAAGATATATTACTTATCGAATGGAAATGGTGCAGAGATGAGATGGCTTGCTGCCTTTGTTTGAGGTAGTATACCGTCCCTGAAGGAAAAAAATGCATTTTGCTCCCCCAAATTTATTCTTAATATTGTTCTGTAATATATATATATTTTAATGACAATAATGATCTGTAATCAACTAGTCATATAAGCTTCAGCTGGCATAAATTTTTCACTCCATTGAAATCATTAGCTTTTAGTAATTTTCTGATATTATCTTCTGCCTCTATCATGCAGTTTCTGATACCTGGATTATACTCAGTTTTGATGGTGGTCTAGAAAGGTTGCCACTTCTGTTTCAGCGTGCCATTCGACACCACAGTTCATTGTTGTATACTTGTAGTCTGTCTCATGACATTCCTAGCAGAAAATTTGGCTTCAACATCATTTTTGCTGAGTAGAATTTGAGGAGATAAAACATAAGTTTGTAGCTCAGCTACATGATTATATCATGGGGGCCCTTTCAGTTCTGCTCAGATGCTAGATACAAAATAATAACCAACTGATGTAACATTTTTCTTGGAGAAGTTTTCGCATGTTTTGGCTTCTGTATTTTTCATGTAGCTGCCTGCGAGCTCACTGTGCTGATGAGTATGATATGAGTTGATGCCAATCTACTCAGCTTGCTATATTGTTGCTGAATTGAGCCCCATTGAATAGTTGTTTTTTAATATATTTTTTGTTGTACGAATCGAACAATTATTTGAGTTGGGAACAATATTCTTCTTTGCGGAACTCAAAGGTTACTTGTATGAGCCATATCCCCTTCACAATTTCATTTGTTCAGCTTCCCTTGTTTCTTGGAGAGATACAGCTTCTTGATTTTACCACATTGTCGATTCCGTTGTACTTTTGACCGTGCCTTTCTGTATATCATCACATATTTTTTGTCCCATGCCGTTCATAGATTCTCCTTCTGAAATAATTCTTTTCGCAAATGAATAACTCTGTTTTTGGTCCCTCGACTTCTTCGTTTGTCTAAAAGACCCCAGATTCAAAGCTGTCAGCTTGACGCCCAAATTATCAAATATGGTTCAGTTTACGCCCCAAAGCTTAGCTTGAGAAATTTCTGCTCTTTAATATTAGAAACACACACACACGCAACAGTTGATTGAGACCTTGTTTAGATGTAGTCAGATTCATCTCAATCCATGTGTGTTGGGGTGGATTGGGTGGAATTTAGTTCATGTTTCAATTCAATCCACCCCAACACATTGGATTTATGCGAATTCAATTACATCCAAATTGGTCATCTCAACAAGATATTTCATTTACACTGGTTAATCTTTTTATCACTTGTGCAAGTACAATGTTAGTATAAGACAATGGACGCATTAACTGAACAGAGTTACTACTTTGTTTTTCAGATGATCACTGAGCGGCCTAACAATTAGTAGGTGTGCCGAAGCTGGAGTGGATTTCTTGTTCCCGTGAGCTCATCAGTCATCATCTCTTCGTCCATGATGAAGGCGCCTCCGTGCATCCACCCGCCTTGACGTGGGAACGCCAGCGGGGTTTTTTGCCGCACCACCCCCGCCGCGCGCGCCCTGACTGCCGGGAGGTCCATGATGTGCGGCAGCAGCAGCAGCTCTGGGTCGGCCGCCTGGTCGTCGTCTTTCTCCATGCCCATGATGAAGATGCCTCCGTCTTCGCTCCCCAACTCCATCGCGCTGGCATTGTCATCCCCGCCGCCACCATCGTCGTCCACAAAGCCACCCTCCTAGTTTTGAGACGGAGGAGGTGAACGAAAAAACAGATAGAGAGAAATTTAGGCTCTTTAATATTAGATATAAGTATATGTATAGATATATTTATAATGAAAAATGAGATACTTTGGAAAAAGAAAAAACGCAAAAAGAGCCAATAACGGCGGATGGGGAGAGACATAAAAAAAAGGATGCACCATGTGGAAATAAAAAATGGACAGAAAAAAGAACGCACAGTATAGGAGTTTGGAGAAAAAAAAGACAAAATGGAGAAAAAATAGGATGTAGTAGTCCGGAACGGAAATAAAAAAGGACGAAGCACACATGAAAAGGTACAGAAAGTGGACAAAACCATGAAATATTTTTTTAAACACAGGAGAGCAATGTTTCATTATATTAAAGAAAAAGAGTGGTCCTCAACAGGATCCTCACTCGTACCGGGACCAAATACAAGTGAGGATATAACAGAAAATATAAATTTATACTTTTATGTTTTTCTATTTTTTCCATATTGATTAGAATTCTAATTCAGGTTTATCAGGATTGGAGGGACGTATTATATTAGGATCTTTGACTATTTATGTTACCTTAGAAGTCTAGCATAGGTTATATATAAAACACGGAGACAATGAGGCACCAGGGTCCTAGGGGTTTCCCATAGGGGTACTACTTGGATGGGCCCTGGGATGGCCCGTGATCTATTGAAGGACGCGAGACAAGATGGAGTAGACTTCAAGCTATTTCAGATCGAATTAGTCGGCTTACTATGAAAGCTAGATTATGTAATAAGACTAGGACTCTTCTCTTGTAACCGACTAGGACTAGATACGTGCATTTACCCTTTCCTCCTATATAAAGAGAGGTATGGTGCACCCCCTTTAACCATAACAATCATACAATCAATCCAACGTAAAATGCTACACGCCGATTGGACGTAAATGTTATTACTCGACAAGAGGGCTCAAACCAGTATAAATCGTTTGTCTCTTTGCGTTTACCGTTGAGTTCTGCGTACGCCGAAGCCCTCCGAACACCGTCCCGGATACCCCCGTGACAGGTTGCCGATCATCAAACATCGACAGCTGGCGCGCAAGGCAGGGGCTTTCGGCGACTTCGCGATTGAGAGCTCAGCGGACCTCGACGACATGATTTTCTCGGCGGGTGTCACTTTCATCTTCGACTCCTGGATATGCAAGGCTGACGACAACGACAAGCTCCAAAGTTGTCTCATGGAGATCCCGGCGCCTCAAGCTTTACCAGACGTCTCAACGACCACGCTAGATCAACTCGTCGAGAAGTTTTTGCACCTCTCAATTTCTGATTCAACTCGAACTCAGGAGGTCACCATCAACCATGACTCCCGCTTAGACACGTCACATTTGTCCGGGCTAAAGATCCCATCTGAAGTCCAACATGAAGACCTAGTTTGTTTTTCCACTCGGACTCAAGAATTCAGCCTCAATTTATCAAGATACGATCAGCTACGTCGTGTAGTCTGAGCAAGAGATCCCTCTTACGGGTGCCGAGAGAGGTTTGGTTTTATCCATCACACCCGAAGGAGGCATCGTCCATTGGCCGGGTGCTCGACCTGACACTTCTTTAATAAATCCATCTTGTCTAGTTGGCATGGTGGACCTCTTGCCTTATCAAGACAGCAGAACTCTTCTAGCAGACAACAACGATCATGGTTCTACAAAAATCTTGGACATTGCGACGACTACAGAATCTGGAACTCACTTTGCCATGAGGCACTCCAGAGAAGTCTTTATGGCTAGGCAACCACCTCAGATCCCTATGCCTAACCCATCAGATATCCAAGATGGAGAGGAAACCTTGTTCGACATCTCCCCAGACACTGCACCACCCAACGGAGAGACGAATGAGCAGAAGACGGCTAGGGAAAAGAAAAACAAAGCTCGATAGGCTCGGTGCAACTACGCCCAACACCGTAGGGAGGAGGGGCAGTGGTATCAATGGGCCTGCCGAGATGTCGAACGATGGCGCTTGGCTACAGAGGCAGCATATGAACAACGTCTACGGGATAAAGAATTAGAACGACAGCGCCAAGACCGTGATGCCGTTAGTGCCTCTGCATCACGCAACCTTGAGCCTGAGTTCTTGGAAGTAGCTGGCCACAGGGTCTTCACTATGCCCTATGCCAATGTCTACGCCCTGGTAGAAGAGATGTCGGCCACAGAAAACCCTACTCCAAATCAGCAACGACTCAAAGTCATTTTGGAATCCACAACCCTTCAGATGCAGGCTGCAAAAGTGACATCCCAAGCTAACCCTTCCCGAGGACCAGAGGCACGGGCACCAGCCCACTCTCATATGGGACCACAGGGTAACCAAGGAGGAGAACAACGAGTACCAGCCCACTCTCATCTAGGGCCATAGGGTAACCAGAATAGGAATCAGGGTGCCGCACAATTGGCCTATCATGGGCACCAATATAGCAATAGAGAAGGCAGAGGTGAGTCCGAGTATAGAGAGGCCAGCATCCCACCAGACAGGTTCCCATGTTTCTCTAACAGGCTACTCTCTGTCTAGCTTCCCTACAAATTTAAGCCATCCAATCATACCAAGTACGATGGGAAGACAAAACCCAACCAATGGTTGCGCTTCTACTCTCAGTCCATCGAGTTGGCAGGTGGCGACGATGACATCAAAGTGTTATATTTTCCCATGGCACTCGACACTATACCTCTCGCCTGGTTTGATAAACTATGAGCCCACTCCATCGGTACTTGGGGACAGCTTCAGCGCAAATTCTATGAATTTTTTTGCGGTGTCCTCACTCACCCAAGTACCCGAAACGAGCTTAGAACTTGCAAACAGAAACCAGACGAAACCTTCCAGCAATATTATCACCGCTTTGCTGAAATACGAGCCCAAGTCTTTGATATCACAGATAGGGAGGTGATAGATCACTTTGCCAATGGGATTAAATACAAGTGGCAGTTAGAAAAGTTCTGCGATGATAATCCAGAGACCATCGAGGAATTTAAGCGTACAGTACAGAAGATGATTGCATCTGAAGAACATACTCGTGAATGATTTCCATGCGTGACTAACACCGGCCACTATCCACTCGTCTTGGGCCCAATAATTGCCGGCATGACAGTCTTCAAGGTCTTGATCGATGGCGGCGTAGGATTGAATATAATATTTGCAGATACACTAAAGAAGATAGGCTTGGGCTTTACCAGCCTACTCACCCCCATTGACGTCCCTTTCTATGGGATAGTACCCGGCATGGTTGCCACACCACTCGGACAGATCACGCTCCTGGTAACGTTTGGCACCCCAAACAATTAACGAATGGAGTTCATCAAGTTCGAGGTGGTTGACTTTGAATCATCATACCATGCCATCTTTGGTCGACCTGCTTTGGCCAAGTTCATGGCCATACCACATTACCTGTACCTCTTTCTCAAGATGCTGGGTCCCAATGGCGTACTCTCCTTTTGAGGTGACCTCAAGCGCTCATATGACTGCGACATGGAAGCTGTCCAGATCGTAGCCAGAACACAGTAAGCCTATGAAGCATACAAGATTACAACATTGCACAGCAGACTAAGCCGGAAGACATGGAGATTCTGACTAAGAAGGCAGGAATCATTGCACCACCCTCTAAGATGGATACCATTGAGATTGATCTGGGTACTAGTGATCCCTCTAAGACAGCTATCATCAGCTCCCACCTCTCCAAAGAATAGGAACTCGCGCTCACCAACTTTCTTAAGGAAAACAAAGATATCTTCGCATGGAAGCCGGCTGATATGCTAGGTGTTCCAAGAGAGTTGGTTGAGCATAAATTGGATTTGAATCCTGGCTCAAAGCCGGTCAAGCAACGTCTACGATGGTTTTCACTAGATAAGAAAGCAACAATCAAAAAGGAAATCACCAAGTTATTGGCAACCGGGTTCATTAGGGAAATCCTTCACCCTGACTGGCTAGCCAATCCTGTACTCGTCCAGAAAAAGAACTCAAAAGAGTGGTGCATGTGCGTCGACTACACAGATCTCAACAAACACTGCCCGAAGGATCCCTTTAGCTTACCTCGCATCGATCAGATCGTAGACTCTACGACCAGGTCGTCTCTTCTATCCTACCTTGATTGCTACTCGGGATACCATCAAATTGCCCTTTGTAAAGAAGATCAGAGCAAGACATCCTTCATCACTCCGTTTGGTGCCTACTTTTACACAACCATGTCCTTTGGGTTAAAAAAATGTTGGTGCAACCTATTAGCGGGCTATCTAGGCGTGCCTAAGCGAATAGATCGGACATAATGTAGAAGCCTACGTGGATGATGTGGTCGTCAAGATCAAGGACCCCTCTACTCTAATCACAGACTTGAAGCAAACCTTTGACAATCTTCATAAGTACAAGTGGGAGCTTAACCCAACAATGTGTGTGTTTGGAGTTCCTTCCGTACAACTATTGGGTTTTCTCGTGAGCCATCGGGGTATCAAAGCTTGCATGAAACAAATTCAAGTAATCACTCAGATGACTCGACCTTACTACGTCAAAGACGTTCAGAAACTGACAGGGTGCATGGCTGCCCTCAATCGTTTCATTTCGCGACTCAGGGAAAAAGGTCTACTTTTCTTCAAGTTGTTGAAAAAATCAGGCAAGTTCGAGTGGACAGTTGAAGCCGACGAAGTTTTCTAGAGACTCAAAGAGTACCTGTCCATCTCTCCAATACTTACTCCACCCGAGAGACATGAACCACTCCTACTCTACATTGCAGCTACTACTATGGTAGTCAACACGACAATAGTCGTGGAGCGGGCTGAAGAAGGGAACATATATAAGGTACAATGACCTGTCTATTATATTAGCGAGGTGCTATCTAAATCCAAGGCCAAGTACCCACATGTGCAAAAGATCCTCTATGCCCTCTTAATCACTTCACGCAAGCTACGCCACTACTTTGATGAACACAAGGTAATAG